TTAATTTCTTGAAGGATCCTTGTGGAAATATCACCAATTATTAATTAAAGTATCCTCTTTTTAATGCAGGAAGCCGTTTTGAAAAATCGCTTTTAGTTTTTGAGAAATAAATTTTTGAAATGATCGACAATTTTTCATATTTTGCAATTTTCGCCTATTAAGTTTTAAAAATTCGTATAAAATCAACTTCTTGGAATATGAGTATGAAAATATCCCAAAGTGTTAATAAGAGTGTCCTCTTTCCAATGAACCAACCTGTTTTGAAAAATAAATTTTAGTTTTTGAGAAAACAATATTTGAAGTTTTGATAAATTTTCAATGTTGCAATTTTCATCGATATTATTCAAAATTCGCTATAAAATTAATTTCTTGAAGGATCCTTGTGGAAATACCACCAATTACTAATTAAAGTATCCTCTTTTTAATGCAAAAAGCCACTTTGAAAAATCGCTTTTAGTTTTTGAGAAATAAATTTTTGAAATGATCGACAATTTTTCGTATTTTGCAATTTTCGTCTATTAAGTTTTAAAAATTCGTATAAAATCAACTTCTTGGAATATGAGTATGAAAATTTTCTCTCATTTTCCTCTTTCCGATGAACCAACCCGTTTTGAAAAATAACTTTTAATTTTTGAGAAAACAATATTTGAAGTTTTGATAAAATTTTCGATGTTACAATTTTCATCGATAACTTTCAAAATTCGCTATAAAATTAATTTCTTGAAGGATCCTTGTGGAAATATCCCCAATTATTAATTAAAGTATCCTCTTTTTAGAGTTATAACTAATACATATCATTGAAATAAAACTGGTACTAACACTAGACCTAGAACTAGACAGTTTTCTAGTTTTAGTTGTTAAGCATTTGCTAATTCAGAGTGTGAATTAGTAGTTGCCTATCTATACATGACGTCACGAGAGCCGCTTCGAGCTGTTTCTGGCTAAAACAGACACTCCTTTCCCCAAGTGTTATAAAATGGATCGAAATTGACGTAAAAAAATGTTGTAATCATCGTCCGATTCGATAAAAAAAAACATGTTTTGAAACCGCCCAAAAGTTAAAATAATTTTTAAGATAACCTTTTAAAGCTTTTCTTTAACACCAAATTAAAATTTGTCTAATTCACAATATATTTTGCTCATAATCTTGAATCATGTGTAGTAAAATTATCGTTAAGAAATATTATTTATTATTAGAAGTGATCATACGATTTTAGATAACCCCGGTCTTTTGTTTCACTATAAAGTGTCAAGGGCAAAAATTAAAACTTCAAAATCGCACCACTAAAAGAATAATCTTGTTTGTTATTCCAAAAATATTTATTTCAAAACAAATTATACAAATAGCAAAGCTTAGAATTCCCATCACAGCGTTTTTGATTCAGATAGCGCTCAAAACGAGACTATAAATGCAAGCTCTTATCTCAACTGAGTTAATAGTCACTTAACCATCATCAGTGCTGTATTAAAATCCCTTTTTTCAAAATCTTAAATTAGTGTATATAAAAAAAATGGTTGTTTCAAAAAATACATCGGGACTTTTTTCTGTTGTTGCTGTAATTGCAATAAGTGGTTATTATGTTACTAAACACCCTGAAAAATTACCTTGGACAAGTTTTAATGAAAATCAGAATTTAACTGGTGGAAGTGAATTATCGAAGCAAGTTCAAGTTGAAATTCATAAACCATTTAAGACGTCTATTTTATTAGAGAAGATTCAAGGTTTGCAAGAAACGAACGAAACGAAAAACACGATTGAATCCGAATCGTTCGATTCGATTGAAGACGCGATTATTGGCGAGTATCATTTCTTCCCAACCAAAAAAGAAGATGAAAAAGTCGAGAAAATTAAGGAGGTATACCATACGTACCATTTAATTAATTCGAATGAGAATCAAAATGAAAGATAGTTAGTGATTTAGTGTTAGTATTTCATTATTTATATCTTTTTATTTATCTTCTTTCTTATGGAAAAATATCTTTTTTTTCTGTATTAATATTAATACTATTGTGACTTATATTAAAATTATTTCTTTCTTTGTATTAACACTACTTTTTGTAAATAATTTTATAAAATAGTATTATTTCAATGTTGAAGTTTCATTTTTTCTTTCTTCACCTTATTAACAGTTTTTGACACCATTCGTAATTTAACATTTTTATTCTTAATCTTACATAAGTGAGTTTTTCCACGGTGGAATGTAATGAATTCGTTTTGGCAAACAACTCGGAAACTTCATCTAAGCAAGAGTAGCTGTCAAACTTGGGTTGGGTTATAAATATGGCGATCGAGACATGCAGAGAGAATGAAAAACGAAGAAATAACCCTATCAAAAATCCTACAATATCATCAACTATAAAAGCAAGATGCGAAACAGAACGAAAGACGTTAGGTCTTAAGCCGTGTGTCCACTACCAAGTTTTCTTGCGGAAGTTGCTTCCAGAAGTGACTTCCAGAAGTTTTTGTAGTGTAAACACGTATTAGAAGTCGACTTCCAGAAGTCACGGCTTGCAGAAGTTACTTGCAGCAATTATGTGGAAACATGTGTTTGTTGCTTGCTGGAAGTAACTTGAACGACTTGCTGTGAACTACAAGTATTTTGAAGACTTGCAGAAGAAGTTGGGTATACATGAGTAAACGATTTGTGGTATTCTCTTCTGTTTTCAGTTTTGTTTTGTTTTTTTTGAGTTCTTTTGAAAAAACACATTTGGTAATTGAAAAACAAGAAAATTATCCTGAATTATGGGACACGTCCTCAAAAGACTATAAGAATAAAATTAAAAAACAAAATGCTTTAAAGGCAATAGCCGGTCTTTGGGAGGTATAGCCAATCTCATTTTAGTATCCTGCTTTTGAATACTTGTTTGAATTAAAGATAAAATGTATTCAAAATCATCATTAGACATTCTCAGGAAATTTTTCAGCATTCGGTCCGCAATTCTTCAAGTAATGTATTTTGGAAACTTAAATCTACGCGCCGCAGCACCCAATTTCTCACCCAAACACTTCTTTTTGTTTTTTTTTAAATTTGTTTCTTTTTAATTAAATATGCTGCGATGGCAGCTGCCAATCTTATTTTGCCACAAGACATTTTTATACTGTCATTCGTAAAAAAAGCAAACTACTGCAAGCTGTACTCACATTGTGTGGAAACACGTCTGCAATTTCTTGCAGCAAGTTCGTCGTGATAACTTCTACAAACTACTTCTGGAAGCACACTTCCGCAAGTTTCGGTTTGAGTGGAAACACTTCAGCAAATACTTGCAGAGTGGACACACGGCTTTAGAATAGACAAAGATTCACGCATTGATTTCTGCACGAATAATAAAAGAAAGACAAGAAAACCTGTAATGATAATACTAGGGTGCTGCCAAGAAAATCCATTGGAGCTAATTACCCAACCAAAATGAGGGATATCCTCATGGAAAAAGTCGTTTGAGACGACGATAACCACAGTTGTGTGATGAAGTAGAGAAAACCAGAATGAATCAATTGCAATTTACATGACACTGCCTAATCGCTGTGGAAAATGACAAGTAATACTAAAAAGCAATCTAATACTCTGCCCAACCATCTTGCAGATATCTTCAAACCACATCATGGGGCATACTTGAGAGCATCGACTTGGTGCTCTCAAGTTATGTGCTTGATGATGTGCTTTAAATCGCTGGATCTAATGACAATGAAATCATCGATTGATCCTAGTATCCAAGGTTACTAGATCTACAACTAAATGTTAGATCTAATTAGTATATATATATACAGGGTGTCTCACGTAACTGGTTCGTTAGAACTTTTTAAGGTGCCACTATTCGTAGTGGTTTGAAATTTTGGTAGCATGGGTTGTTCATTCTAAACTTTCGATCTAAAATATTTTCAAGATGGCCACCCCTTCCGGTCTACCAGAAGTAGACCACAACTTCGTTATTTTAAATGGAATTCTATAGTTTTTATTACACCTTTCAATTATACGTAAAAAAATATGTTGACTTTGATAAAAGTTGTTGGTACCTAGCGTTTTTTGTTTTCGAGTTATTTTGCTTTTAAGCTTTTTTTGGCAAATTTCACCATGGTCTTTAAAAGCCCATATCTCAGCCAACGATCATTCAAAAAAACTCTGCATTGGCACGACTACTCTACTTATGCTGCCAAATAGATTGTCATTTGTTGTATCAGAGAATCTTATACAGGGTGGTCAAAAATTGAATTATCGTTTCTCAATATTCAATTGCGAGAAAGTCGAAAATTTTAAATGGAACACCCCATATTTCTTTACCCTATCAGAAAGGGAATTTAATTCTCTACAAATTATCTATAAACATTCCTATACCTATTTATTGTAGTTTCCCTGATATTGGGACATTAATCAAAGCATGCACGGAATGCGGGAAAACGTTTGATTTTTTTATTAGAAGGCAATGGAATTTTGACAGTTTTTGGTCCATATTTGTGTTATTGTTGTTGTTACTTACTTTTGATCACGAGTGAAAGTCATTGTATATCATGGCAAATTATTCCAACGCCGATATTTTAAATTTG